TCTTCCTACTACAAACTTGGGGCCTTGGTGAATCCAGGATGCTGTCTCATGTCCACTCCCCACTCAGACCCCAAGACCTGCTGGTGCCTCTCTTCTGGCACTTCTTCATCTTTGGAACCTGCTCAGCCCACAGAGCCCAGCATCTCCTTCCCCGGACCATCGCTGGCCCCCACTCTGCGACACTTTCAGTTCCCTGGCTAAGTCCCATGTAAACTGTGCTCCCCTGCACCTCCCGGTGAAGCTACCATAGTGTAGTCTGAGCAGGGGAGGGGATCATGAAAACTCATCGATGGTTCTGATGGAGGCTTGCTCTTCTTCCTTGACCTTGTCCCTTTGCATTGAGCCTCTCTTCCTCTGGAGCCCTGAGGCCTCTCCCAACACCCAACTTTGGGCGCATTCTAAAGCCCTGGGCAAGGCACTCTGGTGGAGCAATGGTTCGATGCCCGGCTGCTGCCGGAACATTCTGGTTTGCACCCACCCAGTGGTTGGGGGGGAGGGGGGAGGTTTGGCCAGGTATAATCCCCAGGGGGCAGTTGGACTCTGGCACACAGGTTGGTTATGAGTTGAAAATCCACTGGATGGCACTTAACAACAATAACAACAACAACAACAACAAAACGCTTTGCACTGAACAGCGGAGAACTCTGTGGGGTGAGACATCAATCTTTGTAAGCCCAGCACTCGCCATCGTTACTTCCATAGGCCTTGAACCCTGAACTGGAAGCTTGGGGTCTGCTACTCCTTTCCCAGACACAGAATGCAGACCAAGGTGTCCTCCTTGTCCCACTGTCCCCTCCTCCTGCCTGGCTGCACCATCATTTGTGCCCAGCAGGCTGCACTGTGAGACTGCTCATGGATCCCCCAGCACACTATCCTCTCTACCACCTGGGCTCTACCAGGGCTCTGGAAACCTTTGGGCCTGTTAGCCTGAGTTCTTTCTCTCTCTCTCTCTCCCTGTAAGAATTGTCTCAAAAGCTCCCCAGGGATTTACTCACTAGGATCTCAGGCAGGTGAGTGCAGCCCAGCTCACAGAAGTTTCTTCTGGAAACTTGCAGGCAGCAGCTTTTGTAGCATGAGCGAATCAAAGTCTGTGATCAGGAAAACAAGGGACAGTGATGCCTGAGTGGGAGGAAACAGACTCCTCTCCCCCACCCCCCACTGCTCCTGGGGATGTGTAACAGGGTCTTCTGAGCAAGAGGGGTTTCTGCTCTCTGTATGTTGGTTGAACGCTCCCAACACCCCAGGAAGAAAACCGTGTCTATTTTCTGGGTGGTCCGGGGGGGCCTGGGCCTTTTGGTTTGCACAAGCCCGAACCAATATTAGGACCACAGCCTATGTTTTCCTAAAAATCAATACTTCCTCCCAGGCTGACTTACTTCTCTTGTAGGTTTTAATATAGAGGAGACAAAACAGTGGGCTTTATACATCATCTGAGTTTGATTTAGCCCCGACTATACATTGCTAAAGCTGATGTGCAAAATTCATTGCTTCTTTTTTGGAGCATCTGCCATGGTCTGCCCGTGACAGTGTGAAGAAGAGAGGGGTGAAGGAGTCTGGGGGCATTATAACCCACTGGTTTTAAGTAATCTCCAAGGGAATAGTCCACAGGCAAATCAAGGTGACAGTCTGGAGGAGGGCGAATGGCTCTTCTTCATGCCTTCCCTTTCAAGGACTACCGTCTCCACAAGTGAAGCGTCCTGGTCTTCAGTCAGGGCTAGGCGCCAGTCCCAGCCGTGTGTGGCTGGGGAGTTCTCTTGAACTTGCAGCTAGGAAGCAGCTTCCACAACTAGCTGAGAATGATGTTGACGGAATCCGACAGTCTCCAGAGCCTTGGTTTCCCATTTGGGCTCCCTTCCCAGGTGGACAGCTGGAGTGACACTCTGTCCCCACCTAGCAATACATCTCTATCATTTAAAATCCCAGTCCTCTCAGCCTCACCCACAAACAGCCTGTTCAACCGCTTGGTATCGCACGGACTTGCTTTCCTTCCTTCTACTCCAGGACCGGGCGGTGATGGTTCCTGGTAGATTTTTTTGCCCGTCACAGCTTTGGTTCTCTGATTATGCCTCTCATGGACAGCCACCACCCAGCTCTGAGTGGAAGCTTGAATGCTGTTTCGATGCTGAACAGGTTTGGGTGGGATTCGCACACAAAGACAGACTAAAAGCAGAGGCCTGGCAATCCAATTCTAAGAACCAGCT